GGAAACTCGATCTCTGAAATTTTTTCAAAAGTTGCTTCCGCTTGTGAAAAGTTCTGCTCAAGTCTTGGCTATTGAACAGCGAAAATCGCAGGTCTCTATCTTATTCCTATCAAAAGTTATTCAAAAAATGCCCGTGGGTCTTGTATTTTGGGATGGATAGTAAAACCAATTCATGCATATTTGAAAGGATGATAGGCTTATCGTCTCTTTTCGTGTTTTTCTTCGAAAAATTATATATTCCAGATTTTTCTCCAAGAAAACAATTCAGTATAACGAATTCTTTTCTTGGAGTTTACACTTCGAGTAACACCCACAACTTTATTTCTAAAACGAGTGTAAAACGCCACGTATTTGTATGGACATGATCTATTTAGAAATAGAAAAGACACTGAGTGATCACGAATATACGCGCAATAATCACAAAAGAAGTACACGAAAAAGTGATTCATTTTTGCGAAAAGTTATATGGTTCGATTCGTCAGACTCGCATGAGTATTTCTGCATAAGATTTAGAAGGTTTTACTCAAAATTTCGTTGATCAAAAAACTTTACTTTCAAGTTCGTGTGCAAATCACCGTGTGTGCGAATGGACATGATCTATTTACGAATGAAAAACACACTGTGTGATCTAATTCGGGGTTTGAGAAATTTCCTCGAAAGCGATAATCCCGAAAATAATTTTCTCGAATGAAGTTTGTTCGAACAGAATTTCCTCGAATGGAAACCTCCTCGAATTATCTAAACAGAAACTATCAGCATATTTTGCAGCATACAGAACCTCCTCAAATTTTCGGTTATATATATATTGCACTTACTTTGGTTTTGCACCGAAAATAAGACCTATATCTTATTTTAAAATTCACTTTGATAAACCGGGATCTATTCAGTTGTCTTGTTGGTATTTACAGTGTTTTCGATAGTAGTTTTGGTGGGGGGCTGGCGACCCTGCTGAGTAACTAAAGTTTTTTATTGAGCAACGCATTTTTTGACTAAAATTTTTTTCTGAGTAACTGAGTTACTCAGAAAAAAATGTTAGTCACCTAATTACTCAGGTGCATAAGAGTGAGTTTCTCAGCAAATAAATGAATTATTCAGAAGCTAGAGAAAAACACTTACTCAAGTGCATAAAAGCAAGTTTCTTAACTTAAATTTCTTAAAAAATTTCTGAGTAAGTCAACATTTTTTGAGTAACTATATCCAAACGAGGGAGTCCTCGTTACGCCACTCCTTTCTACCCCCTAATCGATAACGCTAGATATTTATCTGTATCTGAAGTGATTTTTTTTGTGTTCATTTTGAATACTTCTCTTGTTCTATACACTGCAAATAATATTTATAATTTCTGTTTGGACAATTTGAGAAGATTTTCATTCGAGGAAATTCTGTTCGAGAAAAACTTCATTCGTGGAAATTATTTTCGAGATTATCGCTTTCAAGGAAAGTTTATTCGGGTAAATTTCTCCTAATCCTAATTTGGAAAGGACCGAAAAGGAAAAAAGCCAGACATGTCCTCATTCTGATCATAATTGCTCTCTAATGAGCAGGCAAATCGTAAAGATTTTTACATAGATCGATAGAGAAGAGTTTCCTCTACTCGGAGGTGGAAGATATATCTTCCACTTTTGATTATTCTGTTGTTCATAAAAAGGTACACTAATGAATAGAAATAAAAAAATTGAAAAAAAAAGAAATATAGATATATATTCTTACAAAGTAGACAACAGACTTTTTATTTTTTTAAAAATAGTTATATTCGCAGAACAAATGAATATTTTGAGAGGCACTCCAAGGCTTATATTGATGATCAAGAACATAATGAAATTTTTCTCCTTTCCTTCGAAACTCTGAGTACTTTCGAGGACAATACTAAAAGTAGATTTAAAATGAGATTCAAATGATAATCTGTCAACAATTGTTCGTCCTATAATAATACGTAAAATACATTTTATATTATATGGTATGATTTGATTAGCTTAATCAGACAGGTAAACAAGATAGAACTTTGATCATCCATGATTATTAATTCTACTATTGTTTAGATAATGGATGTCCTTTTGTGATGTAGAGGATGTAAAGTACTATGAAAAAAATTTATAAGAAAAAAAAATAGAAAGATAGTTCAATATCATTTCTGTGATTTAAAACTAGGTTAAAATCTTCTCGTTTTCAAGGCGATATTTCACTGTGAGTTCATGAGGAACCAGTTAATGATCAATGATGATATGTTTTTTAATTTCTTTTTTTTTATTTATTTAGGCAACAGAAGATTTTATGGAGCGTATGAAATGGTCTGTTGATCAACATGACGAAGAAGAAAATCTTTCAAAGTCGAATATTGCTATGAAATATTTGTTATTAACAAAGTTTGATGTTTCAAAAGCTGTACAATTATACCGATTTCATGAGATTTTACGTCAAAAAGAAATGCTTGATCGAATACCTTTAAATAATCCAAATTTAATTAGAGAAATAGAATCGGGAAATTTTTTTATATTAGTAAGTATCGAATTATTTTCACTGCATATATTTCGTCTAACTGTTAAACAACTTGAGATACGATCAACTAAATAATTAAACGTTCTACAGCAATTTTTTTCGATCAATATCAATAATATTTATTCCATTTAAATCGACTTAGTGTAACAAAAAAAGACTTTCTGTTTTTCACCAAAAGAAAAACTATTTCCTTCCTGAACATTTTTCTCTCTCGAGTTCTTTGATCGTTTATCTACAATTGTTGAAGAATAAGAAATATTTTTTCATAAATCTTTATAATCACATGGGATGATTCACAATTCAACTGCACCAATTGTGTCTAAGAGGTACTTTTGTATAGTTTACCTAGTTTTCTACCCAAAACTGATGATTTTTTGTAGGATCATGTCTAATTTCACTGCTAAGAGCAGCTTTTTAACCCTCTTCTTCTGATATAAAAAAATAATATTAAAAATGATATACCTTTTTCGCCTCGACAGTTTTGATCAGAAATTTTTATTGCTGATTCTAAGCAGAAAGAAATTTCTCACGAATGATCGGTGTCAAAGACATATCTTACCATCTATTTCGAATTATGTTTAATTTTTGAAAATACCATCTCTCTCAAACAGTATAGAAAATATCGTTGTTCTTACGGTCTCTAGTGGTGGTTAATATCAAATAAGATCATCACATCAATTTTGATTTTCATAAAAGACACTGACGTGCAATCATTGACCATTCAAGAGATCAACGAATACAAAGCACAATAGTGAAAATAGAGTTGAATAAAATAAAACTAGTTATCATGAGATTAAATTAAAATGAGTATTGATATTAATCAGAAAAGCTGCTGAGTATGAGCAACGTTAATTTTTTCTCACTTATTTAGTTCTATATCATTTTAAGAGATCAAATGGAATTTTCTTGCATTAATATTAGTTCATATCTATTCAAAGCCGATGAAAATGAATCAACCTGTGTGTGCAATATTTGTTGCTTCTTCGCAACAATCAACAACAACATTGACACCAGAAGAACGTGATCATTTGACAATACAAGCATTGGTTTCTCAGTTGGATGCAGCGAATGAAAGGTATTGAGTGATGGATCTGAAGGGATTTGATTTTGTTTTCTGAATCCAAAGAATCTTAGAACAAATATGAGCAGAAGGTTGCACAACAAAGATGATAGAAACGCTCAATAACTTTGCTCCATCATAAATGAGACGAGTTCTCAGGAGCGTGACTTACTGTGTATATGGAGTTTCATTTGAGACCATACGTCTACATTGATCATGTTTCTAATTAATCTCAAATTAATCTTAAAATATTCATCTGAAATTTCAGCATAAACGTGCAACAAAATGGTTTACAATTTATTTATGATATGCAAAACTGGACAACATCTAATACTGATCTTAGTCTAACAAAAAAAATTTTGAAACTATTGCAAGTAAGATTATGTTTACCTACCGTATTCTATATTCTGCTCATTCTAGTCATTCTCTTTAGGATATTTATTGTGTTATGTTAAAAGATATATTTGTTGTTGCTGTTCCAACATCGTTCAAAGTTTCCTTCAAGGTATTGTTAAAAGTACTATGAGAAAACAACAGAGAGTTTTTAAATGCTGCAGAAAAAAGATATTTCATTCATCTTGTATTTATAAATAAAGTGTACTGAAATGTATTAATATTACTCTTGTTTACCATAACTTTTGTGCACTCTACTTTAGGGTGCAACATCATTTAGTCGTGATGGAATGTTATCGTTTCTATCGAATCAAGCATATTCAATGGATGAAATTCCCGTCAATTTTGGTGGTTCATACGATCCGAAAACGGAGAACACTAAACGTTATCAAATATGTCAAACAATTTTATTAAATCCACAATCAATATGTTACAAATATTATTCAGCTGACAATCATCAGCTTGCAAAATCCACGATATTGTATGTAAATAATGATACAGATAATCTAAATATATCAAAACAAAACAATAATAATTCACCGAATTCATCATCATCGTTAATTGCCATTGTTACATTGAAAAGACAACAACAACTTCAAACACAAGTATCAAACATACGAAAACGTGAATCATCAATATCATCGGGCGATTCGGAAAAACGTCATCGTTCCAATTATAATGAAGTAGTAGAAGAAGATTTTGTTCCTTCATCACCACCATACAGGTATGTACACATTCTGCCTTAGAAAATAAATAGATTTCTGCCATCAATTGATTTTATTATAATTTATTAAATCGTTTAGCTAAGTTACTCTGTACTTATTTTTTATCAGAAAAAGTCGATATGATCAATATGTGTTGAATTATTATATTCAATTAATTAATCAAAAATTTAGTGATAAGTCAAACCTGTCTAATATTAAAAGGAGGAGGAATGCTCATAACACAAAATTGTCTAATCTATTAATGCGCATCGTTCTTTGCGTGCATCCGAATTGAGCATACATGTTCATCTGCCATTTTCATCAATAACAAACGTAGCTTCAACATCTATTTTAGTATCATTTCTTTTAAACTTCTTATGTATCACTCAGCTGTAAGGTGCGTCTGATGCATTTTTTAATTTTTGAAAAAATCTTTTTCATGGTATAAAATTTAAAAAGATTGAAGGACGTAAAAACCTGAAAAATCCTTCAAGTTCAAAAAAATTCAAATCTTCATTGTCTTTGTTAGTTTAGATTTTCCAAAGTATTATTTTCTTATTCAGCATTAAAAATTGAATAGAAAAATGATGTTTGATCATTTCAAAGTTATAACTTTGAAATTGATCAAACCATTTTTCTATTCAATTTTTAATGCTGAATAAGAAAATAATACTTTGGAAAATCCAAACTAACAAAGACAATGAAGATTTGAATTTTTTTGAACTTGAAGGATTTTTCAGATTTTTACGTCCTTCAATCTTTTTAAATTTTATACCATGAAAAAGATTTTTTCAAAAATTAAAATACATTTTCTTAACCAGCTTGATGCACTCTATCCAACGATTTTTAATAGGTCGGAAAAGAAATTTTGCTATAAGTTTGTATGAGGCGCACATTATGTCAGATGAAAATGTCGTCACATTTTAACATGTAAAACAAAGAATGAACGCTTAAGATACTTTTGTCAATCATACCGTGAAGAAACAAAAAACATAACTAGTGCGTACTGATGGTTAAATATAGAATCTTGTAGTTCTTTACATTTATAATCTCAGGATCCTCCTGATTCGAATTTGATCCGTATCCATAAATTTTGGCTTTGACCTGGAACAACTTTTTCAGGCTTTAGGTTGAATGTTGTTCATCAACATGATTTGTTTTTGTCAAAAAAATTAATTTCTCATTGAAAAACTCGTTATCTCTTCACACCGTCATTCGTACGTGACTTTTTATCTTTTCTTTTCTTTTTTGTTATCCTTTTTTCTTTATTATGGTTGGATGCGTACAAATGTACTTTCTTTTGAGTTAGAAGCAGTAGTTAATATGGCGTATGTGTGAGAGTATCATGAATCCCTACATCTTTTCACGATTTAACTATGATAAACCAAGTTCATTTGTATCTTCTAACTATTGTTATACTATACCACTAAATCGTATTCAATTAAATAATTATAATAGAAAGAATGCATCTAATTATTTTCCATTACCGCGACCTCTTGTATCATCATCTCGTTACCTCTATCATCGACAAAAACGAGCTCATATTACGGAGAAAGATCAACGTAGCCATAACAACAGCAGGTAAACGATTCTCCAATCGAATTGAATGTTGTGTCTGTATATTTTTTATTTTATATATTTCGTGTGAACTCACTATAGATATGAAATTAATAGAGAAATAAAATAGCTTATTAATATTTTTTTTCGATACTTTTTTTTTTCTCTTCTCATGTCAAAGGTATAATTCCTCATTTATATATTAATATTTATAGTTACGTGATGTCTTCCCATTACTAAGCCAGAAGAACATGGAATCTGTTGGATAGTTCTTTACTTGATGAATAATGTAGATGATTCTTAAGACTGGCGTTTTAATTACAATTCGAATCTCGAGTATATTACAGTATTATTGGTTCAAAATTGTTAGCTCAAAACCTTTTAGTCACGTTTTTTTAAAGACATTATGCTACTTTGTCAAGAATTCTTTTTTTTTTCTCTTATTCAGTTATTTATCCAATATTTCTCAACAAAATGAAACTAATCATAATCAAAATAATTTTAACGTGACTGACAGTTATCAAAGACAACAAAATGAAATGATGAACAATACTAAACCTGATCAAGTAAACAGTACAGTGCAAGAATTCGTATCAAAGTCAGTTGATGTTATGAAAAAAGAGTTTCGAAAATTAGCGAATCCATCAGTTAAATATCCATCTGCGGCACGGTATTGTTCTTTTAATTAACGTTTGGTCACTAACACAAGGTTGTATATCTTGCATTTTTTTCTTGTAGTGAGCCAAAAAATATCTCAAAAAATCGTTATCGTGATGTTATTCCTGGTGATGAGACAAGAGTTTTTCTTTTACCAGATGAATTAGATAAAGATGATTTTATTAATGCTAGTTATGTTAGTGGCTATAAACAAGCGAAGGCATATATTTTTGCTCAAGGTGTGTTATTATTATGTAGTATTTTCAGTAAATGTTTCTCCGCTCACTTTACCTTTCAAATCGTGAATGAGACAAGATTAGAGAGCTTGATGGCCATGAACATTAGATAAATCTTTTTTAGGTCCACTTGAGTCAACTACAAAAGATTTTTGGAGAATGATCTGGCAGCAGAAATCAGACGTGATTGCGATGACAACAAATGTAAGAGAAAATGGAATGCAAAAATGTTTTCAATATTGGCCACTCGAGGTTGATAATAGTCAGACGTATGGAATGTATACAGTGACAAATGATCAAACTGACAGAGGGGAAAATTTCAATATAACAAAATTAACATTGAGAAAAAAATATACAGTATGTTATAATCCGTTGAGTATAAAGTACTGGATACGCTCTATTTACTGCTTTTTCAAAGGATCAGTCTCTGACAGTTTATCATTGTCATTTTACCAAATGGCCAGACCATGGTGTGCCATCTGGCACTGGGGCTGCTTTAGAATTTTTAGAAAAAGTTCGAACATTTCATCAAAAAACAAATTCAAAATCCCCAATTGTTGTTCACTGTTCGGCTGGAATTGGACGAACAGGTATGACAGAAATGTTCTTTCTCTCCATGGGTAGGATTGACATCGTTTGTTCTTTAGGAACATTTTGTACCATTGATATTAGTATGAGACGATTTCGAGCAGAAAAAACTATAGATATAGCATCAACCGTTGCTAATATGCGTAATGAGCGTGCAGGATCTGTTCAAACAGAAGATCAATATATATTTTGTCATCTAGCATTAATCGATTTTATACAGTTAGATGAACAAGTACAGAGCGCATTAAATAGAAAAGGAACTGTTGTGAATATAGTACCATCATTACCGTCCTTTGACCGTGCGAGCGTTCAGTCAACAGACACAATAATAACCGGTACTAATGATACATATACAACAATAAAAGCAGCCAGTATCACCAAATCGACAGACGGAGATAATAGAGATATCGATCGGGTACCTCGCGTCAAATCAGATGTTAATCGAACATCCATATTAACGTCCGAAACAGATAAATACGCGGAGGATTACAGAGCACAAACAACACATGATAAACCGCGTATTGACAATAAATCGGTGAAACTAGCACAATCAATACATAATTCATTCGAAGGGGGCTATATCGAACGGCTCCACTCTGAAAATGATTTTGAAGTTGGAAGACTGATTCGTTCCGAGTCGGCTAAAGGACTTTTGTATAAACGTAGCGCAGAAGAATTAAATAACCAACCACAAATATCGACAAGTAATGATATTAATAATACTTCGAGCAAGCCGCAAAGTCCCAAAAGACAAATAAAAGTTAATAAAAGCATTAATAAAAATGCAGTCCAAACTCCTGATATACAACAACGACAATATCACCATGTTTTCAATGAAGAAAGTATAGACTATAGTAGTAATGAAAGAAAAAATTCAAAAACAAATCGAATACCGAAATCAAGAACATATAAACCGCCGAAAGTACCCGTTATACAAACAAATAATCAATACAATTTATCAACACCTCGTTTAAAAGACAAAGAGAGAACATTGTCGTCAGAGGCTTTTACGTCATCAACTTTCATCCGTTCACCAGAATCGACAAATACACCAGTATTATTAACACCAGTATTCTCCAGAACACAACTAGAACCAAGTCTTTTAAAAGCAGATCAAACTTTTCTGGTAGATTATGGTTTATCTTCAAAAGCGACGGCACCGAAAAAACAACGTACTTCTAGAAAACCACGCAAAAATGGCTTGAGGGAGTGATGAGTATTTCCTCCTCCATCTTTCTTCGTGGTTTCTATATTTTCGTATATCACTCAGGTTATAAAAAACATCAAATATACGGTGAGCAAAAAATCTACTTTTCTATCAGATGTAGATTTTTTTTGACTAGCAAATATATATTATGAAGAAAAAAAAGAAAGCTATGCCTTGTTTCTCGCGTATTATAATTTGATTGATATTGAAACATCATATTTTTGTTTATGTGAAATAAAAAGCATTTTTTAAAACATATCTTTTTTATATGCCAGTATTTTCTTCTTTTTATTATTTTATGTTCATCTGTTGTTATACTGCTTTTTTATCATATTCTTTGATTACAAAATATGACATCTGTCTATGTAGAATACAGAGAAACTGGATTAATTATGAAAATAAGGTCTGAATTAGTACTTCTTTAGTAACGAGTACTATATTCATAATTCGTTTGTTCGTAAGTTACATGACTTGAGCAACTTCCCAAATGTCTAGAATTCATTTTTTTTTCGCGTTAATTGTGTTTAATTTCACAAAAGGATCAAGTTTTGATATGAGTCGCAGCGTCACTTCACACTCCAACGGTATGCAACTAATCTCTTCGTATTTATTTACGTTAAAACTGACATGACCATTCTGTTTTATTGTTGTCCTACACAAAGCATGTACAGTTTTCTGCTTTATAATTTTCGTCTTGGGTTCGAGTAAGATTGGCGAATTGTACATAAAATTACCGACGAAAACATCATCCTTTTCTATGCAAAAAGTAATTGTTTATTCGCAATTATCGAATAGATAAGATATTAATGTTCTTGATATATTAATGCACATTTAATTGGTCTGTGGTTTACCATAGAACGGATGTTTTTTATACCATAAGTTATGTAACTGATCTGATGTATTTTTAACTTGACTTCTAGTTTATTTTTAGAATTATGGGACATAAATAAAACCATTGATGCCCATTTATTCGTATATTTGACATTTCTAAGATAGAGGCCACTTTCTGTTCGACAAAAAGTACATATTATGTAATTCTAAGAATATTTTAGCAAAAAAAGTGAAAACAAACGTAGGCACGAAAGCTGACTTATCTTCCCTCATCTTTTATACAACATACGCGTTTGGAAAATATTGATAAGATATCTGATGTAGAAGATTCTTTAATTCAATCATTTTTATTATCAGAATGATCGGATTTGAAAAATACGCCTACCCATAACTGTGAATATTCACGTTTTCCATGTAAAAATAGATTTTAAGTATTATCCATTAAAAAATTCTACACTATGTAGTATATCTTGTTGAACTTGACTAACAATAGTCGAAAACCATATCGTCTTGTAAGATAATAAATTTCACCGGAAAACATACTTAGAATCGTGAACTTTTCATTCAATCTCGTTTGTCTACTCATATTTGCTAATCAGAGATAAACGCAGTTACTGAATAAAGGTGTATGTCTGTGAAATAGTTCAGCTGGATTAGTATTCATAATTCTAAAAACGTCCAATAATTCGAATATGGCTGCGTCCTACATTTATTTTTAACTTTCAGACAAAAGAATCGACTCGAATAAGCGTCTTAAAGAAAAAGCTTTGTAAGAAGTTCTGAAATCCTAATTAATAAATTCTCTTAATGCAAAATGTTCCTAAGATAATTTTTATTTAAGATAAGTTGCTTAACATTTAAAATCTTTAAAAAATATACTAAACGAGGCGATTTTCTCATACTTTCTTATGTTACTTACTTTAAGAAGGCTTATTTTATGGTACAATGAACTGATTGATTTTTTAGTGATAATGCCAACAGGTACGCTTATCTCCTTCTGTAACGATCATGATACCGTTGTGAGTGCTGAAATGCATTAGAAATAGTATCACAATATCCAACAGTACGCACGATTTCACATGACAAATTAGAGTGTTACTTTAGCTTTAGAATAACTCAATTTTATCAAATACAAAAGCACATTAGTATTATGGATCAAAATTACGGGAGTGAATCGTGAAATTGTGTTAATAGCGTTGAAAAGAGTTAAAGGTTCATATAAAAATCTCTCAAACGTTCATGTTACTTGTTACTTAAAGACAATTCTTAAATACCTTGTGTCGAATATTGTTAAACCCATCAGGGGGACACACTTGGGAACACATTTTTACCAATAGCGGGTATCTATACCTGCATGCTCATAGTTTTCCAACAACACTATTTTGTTGTTGTTGTTTTTTGCGATGATATCATAGAGTTACCGTGCAATTAAATATTTCTTTTGAATATTTGCCACTTTTGAATAACTGAATTGATGTAATCATCAAGTAAATATCTCATTTATTTATTTTTGTACAGCAGAACATTTATAACTTTTGTTTGCATTAAAGTATGATGTAAAAGAGCATTAAAAGTGCAGAATAGATTTATTCACATAAGAGATATTGTATTGATCAATTAATTGTCTGTACGGTTAGAGTATCTGTTTCAAAAATGAAAATCGTGATGTATTACAAATTAGTTGAACAAAAAATTTCGAGATAAAAGAAATGAAAGTATTTTTAGCAAAATATAAATTAGAACTAGCTTTTAGCGAATTAAAATTACCATTCGCGTTTTAGCGTAGACTCTCTTTGTCTATATGAATAGAAGAACCTTAACTCGTTTGATGAGCACCGTATGGCTCTTACGCAATTACGATACGATTTGTTCGCTTTCACTGTCGTTCAGTACAAATAAAACTTCTCGATGGATCTTATAATCTTAAACCGAAAATATACTCTTCCTCTTTTCGATGAAAAGTATTCATTCGAATTTCACAAAACGTGGCTAGAAAATTGTATTTTATATTTATGTTTTTGATGAATGTTGTTTGTTTAAGTCTTAAAGTTTTCACTAAATATTTCACATTTTTTACTTATACTTCTTTCCTCTATACTTGTATAATTTTCTTGCCCATCATCAACAACGGCCATTTTTGATACAAATGTTCTAACTCTGTCGAACTGTTTACGAACAATGCCATTTCCTCGTGAAAATGAACCGTTTTGTAGATCGTACGTACCCGATGATGTTGTTTCAATTAAACGACTGAGACGTGTTGTTACTGCTTTAAAATTAAATCGAGATGAACTATCATTATCGAGTTGATTTAGTTCCCTTATTGAGGATAGTTCTTGATGTCGAGAAAATAATCGATTAGATGGTATTCCAAAACGATTTATTTTTGAAAATGATGTAGAAAATGTTGGTGCTTTAAAACTTTTTTTAGCTGTTTCCACTTGTAAAATGGCGTCATTGTCTTTCAGTGTTTTACCGTTAGCATATTTTATTTCGATTAATTGCGGTTCACTATTCGAACGATGACCTGTCACACCCGATTGATAATGTTTTTTAATTAAACGATATAAGGCTGAATTTCTCGCTACACTACCAAACGTACTCCCATGTGACTTTTTCATCAAGTCGGATGGATAATAATCGAACTTGACAGATTCATCTAAAGTGATCTTTTTAGATGAAGTTGTATCACGGCCAATTTCTTCTCTAAAGAAAATAAGAGTCACAAGATCTGTATCTAGCACTTTAATAATGAAGTATTCCGATGTTTTTTGTGGAAAAATGATGGCAAGGGTCTTCACTTATCGCAAAAAATCTTTGATAACCTCTATTACTGATTTTATTTCTCGGAAATTGTGCATTACTCAGTCTATCAACATACTTCGTGTTTACTATTAAATGATTGGAATCATGTTGAATCGGGTTAACTTGATAAAGATTACCATTTGTTTCTTGCAAAAGTTCATTTTTCTTCGCTAATGCAGTAGAAAGGTGTAATGGAAAAGTTGCTTTTGATTTTTGTACAATGGAATCGTGAGTCGGTGATGTACTAGGAGTTGGTACATTATTTACATATTTTTGCATAGCCAATTGATCGAAGGCAAATGTTTTTAATGGGGTTGTTGGTAAATCCAATTCAGTTTTGCATTCTGTCGAAGAATAGGTATCATCCGTTTGCTGATATCTGCTGCATTTTTCCTCATCAACGGCCGTTATTCGAGATTTTGATCGAATTTTATCATCAATTTCATGGTGAGTCTTAGCATTTATTTTATACCGAGTTGAAATAATGGTGTTGTTTTTCGTATTAGCATCATCAATTCTATTTAAAACCTTTTTCTGTTGTGGTGGAGAATAATGTGTAATTGAACCAATACATGATATTGATGATTGCCCGTGAACATTTTCGCTTGGATTTAAAATTGATTTTTCTGTTAACATAAAATCTTTTCGTTTTAATGGTCGACAGATTTGTTTGGTTGACGATTGGATTAAAGGTTGATCATTTACTTTTTGAATTGTTCTTAATCTTATTCGTTGGTTATCGCAATCGGATGAATATGATGAATTACGTTCAAAATGATTACGATTAGCCGGATAGTTCATTCGTAATCGTTTAGTAAACTTTTTTTTTTTCTCTATTTCACCTTTATGAGCTGTTGAATGTTTCATTATCTTCCTTGGTATTAGTTCCATCTTTTGCTTTAAACCAGCTACAGGGTCGATCGCACAAACGGCAGAACGATACTGAAAGAAAGAGAGAAAGAAACGATTGTATTTGATGCCTATCAGCTATATTTTCTGAATATACTCGTTTAGTTTTATCTTCTTCTTCCGATTTGGAATTGTATTCTTTTGCAAAGTTAAAGTCAGCTTTCACTGCCATCTCTTGAGCTGCAAGTGAACATTTAATTTCTAAGACAACATAACTGTCATTTGATATATCGGAGGAGGTTGTTGATATATTTTCCATAATCTCATCTAAACTATCGTCAATTCGATTATTATTTTTAACACGCACAATATCATTATTTGGAAATTTAGTATTCATTTCATCATAATACGAAATATCTTTATCATTTTCTTCTGGTATTATTGACTGAGATTTTAATATGTTTAACTGAGATATAACAGTGTTATCATCACGATATTGAGCGTAATTATTGATACCAAATGACGATTGGACTATATTCGAACAATTAGCATCGTTCTGTTTAGAACAGACTTCATCTTTGAAAATATTATCGTCAACACCGGTGTTTAGTGAAGGTGGTAAACAGGTTTGTGAATGATGTTCTAATCGAACTGTATTTGTGGCAAGCATATTTAATATAAAACCTATAGAGTAACAATGAAAAAGAATTTTTGTATTTTGATAAATCGAAACATTGTCATCAAGTATCAGATGAAATAAAACTTATAAGTTAGTATTAATTTTGGAAATATGTGAGAACTTCTATGAAACAATGAGTTTTAGGGTATCTAATGTGGTGATACAACAATTAGATATCTAGATTTACTTAAATATCTGTTTGACTTGATTGGCCACTATTTGCTGGTTAGTGCTATTCCGAAGATAAAAAACACACACATACCTTTTGTTAAAGATGATCACTAATGTTGCGGCTGTGTAAAAACATTGGTGCATACTACCGCATAAAATTGATTATTCTATCGATTAAAACTATCCTTTGATTATTATTTCATTTTGAAGTCGATTTTTATTACTTAAAAACGTATTATCATTTTTATTCGTGTCTTTTTGTATGAAGTAGCAAAAATCAAATGAGGATATTACATAAATTGTGTATATTGTGCAATACATGAATCGAAATGACAACTTTACTCTTCTTTTTTTGAAAAAAATCTCTATACTTATTTCTACCTACATTATGCTCGTATGTACACAACGACGCATACAACTGTAGGCAACGATTTAGATTGAAAAAAATGATATCAGAGTAAGATGACAAAGAAAAACGTTTATATAAAATTTTATACCATATATAGATTTAAAGATGAGAATGGAGGCAAAAGGCATTGAATAAAGATAAAAAATACAAATGTACACTAAATACAATTAAATAGACATAAATGTTTAAAAATTGAAAGAAAATATGATCAAAAAAGATTATAATTGTTATAACAAGGTCAGAATTGTAACCGGTAACGGCAAACGGTCAAAATTTTTCGTTTCGGTAAGACTTTTTAGAACGGCCGCTCTAAAAAAACGTTCTAACCCATGTCATTTTCAGCTTTTTCTTGAATAAAATTACTACTAATAAAGAATACTTCTTACTTTTGACTAACGTGCATACAGCAAGCACTGAGAATACACGTCTGGTAGGAACTAGTACATCGAAGCGATTAGAGAACTTGTACAACGATTCACTCAACTTCTAGAAATGTGACTGACCACCACTAGTACAGAATAATTTACGCTGTAACATTATGTAAATTGAGTATAAAGGCATAGTTTTTATTTTGATGCTTATTATACGGCATTCTTTGAAACATGAATCAACATGAATTAAATTGTTGAAAGCATGAAACTTCACAAAGGAGATCCTTGACTGAAAAAACTCGGGCACTCCAACGAGATCTTTGTGACCTAGGAAATGTGTGAAGATGATAATCCTCATGTGTTTATTTAACAGAAAAAGATAACTACTCAATTCTCCTCAACACATCAAAATATAGTCATATATATATGTAACAATAACAGAGAGAGGAATGTAAAACTACGTGAGGAAATGATACAATAAATGGTACGACAGAAGTGGTGTGATGAAGAAAGAATGTATGACCAAGAGATGAAGGATGTGAACGTGAACAACGTGAAGAGGTGTTTTCTACCTAACAAATGTTTGGAAAACTGGGTTAGAACTAATGAATGAAGCATGGATTAAAGTCTACGCTAAGTTTTGATGGCAGCGCCTATTTTCAACTTACTTATCATTATTACATTAAGTTATCCGAGTGGCAGACCTTCTATTGATAGTCATCCTCAACGGCTATATTACGAGGTTCACGAGGTTACTACTATCCGTCCCAAAATACAATGCCATCGGTTAATTTTGAAATAACGCAATCACACTGACAGATAGCGACATGTGATTTTCACCATCGTGTGGCTAAGATCCTAAGGCATGTTTTTGCAAGCAGAAACTTGTTTCAAAATTTTCTGGAAGTCTGGTTTTCTAGAGAATCTTTGAAAAACCAGTTCCGTTCTCAGAAAACTAACATACAAAGTTAGTCATTTTTGGCATGTGTAGATATTTCGGACGTTACTCTACAAAATTATGCAAGTTCCAGCCCTCCAGCTATCGTCGTTTTGACAGGGCTCGCTTTCCCCAAGCATGTGTCTATCTCCGAGCAGACAACCCTGGGAGTCTCGAAATACCACAGAATATAGATAATCGACTACGCTGAGCATAGTGGCAACATTTGTTTTTATGTAGAAATGAAACTAACTTCGCCAGAGGCATTGGGAAAAAGCGGTTTTTCGCCGCTTATTCAAAGTTTCACCACTATTTATTTTTAGCTTTAAGGCACACGTCTAGATTCAGTTTTAGTTGCTGATCACGAATATGTCCTTATTTTCTCGATCTGATAAAGTTTCAAGGAGAAAAACGCAAAATAATGAGAGGGTGTCAAAATCCACAAAAAGCTTCCTTAAGAAAAAATAGGCCTTAGCTCTTTGCATTCAACTTTTTGCTCTCACCATTATGATTTTTGGATTCCTCATATAAAAATAAGTCTAGAATTGTTGTCTAGAGCCTTATCGCATATTACATACAGTCGAATGATGTACCTTTTTATCTTATCTGATCACCTTTGTTTTTTTCGAACTTTCATATCGAAAAATTACTGAGATTTTCACCAAAAACTGCAAATCAACAAGAATTTTCGAAACATATATCATTCGACTCAGTTTTCGACCCTGACTCCGAATATGTTACTTTTATTGCATAAAAAGTGTATTCTGGTGGAGAAAATTGAAAAGTACAGGCAGAATTCCGACTTTCGTGCAATCGTTGTAGCAGCTGGGATCATTCTCATATTGTGTGATCAGAGTACTGTAAAAAAATGCATTGGTATCCCATCGAATTACACAGGTAAATGCTGGAATTTATCGTTACACAAAAATCCAGTCACAAAAAAGCACAAGCTAAAACAAAGCAATTAAAAAATTCATCAATTTTAAGGCGCCGCTAATTCAAAAGAATTGCAAGTTCTTATTTTTCACTTAAAACTATATCATTCGATGCAAAATTTCACGGTGATTACGAATATCACCTTTTGAATTGATTTTGAT